AAGGCAGCGGAAATGCTGTGTGTCATGACTGACGCACTTTATCTCTGAATAAGCATGCTATAAGGGGGTTTGTTGTTCCTGTAGCCTATGTAGGAACTTGCATCACTGATCAGTCATCTTACATCACACTTATACAGTTTTCATGTCCCTGATGGAGCATTAATGACTCCAGAGATGTGGGCAGGATGTCGTTGTGTATACAGCACTTTTTTTTCTGTGCCAATAAATACTAATTGATATTAATTAGGGCTAACAATTTTATGTAGTGAGGTTATCAGTGAGGCCGTATTAAAGTAGTGAGGCTTTGATCTTTTCAAGGCTTTTTTCAACCCCTCTCTTAATTTGCATCAACAATCCCTCATGACTGCAGTTCAATTTTTTGACTATTTCGGCACCAAATACTTGGCATTAAGGCGAATCATCATCAGCCTTGCTTCTGCTTGTGCTTGTTGTTTATTACCCTCGTTAAAAAGAATACGACAAAAGTTGATAGCAAAAAAAGGTATCAGATGTCATAGGCATATATGTTGGTGTTATATCATGCTATGAGCCAATCAGATTGCTTAATTTGAGCTACCCGTTTTATAATAATATTCATACATTTAACATAATATTAGAATAATAAAGTTATTCATCATTGTTGTCAAAAAACGTCTCAAGTATTATCTATTTTGATTTTATGGACGATATATGTGTTAAAATATTCATAATTTAAGCATACTCAGAATGTCTCTCAAGCTGTCACCAGTCACCCTGGTTTGCTTTGTCTATCCTCCACAGTAGCTGTTAAAAGGGGCTCTCTCACAACGCTGAACTTATAACATCACTCATCTAACTCATTAGTGCGTCTGCTTTTCAGGATGCACGCTGAGAGTAAACTCTGTTGGTGCAGGATCCAGAGCCATGATGGCAGTTTGTGGGCCCACTAAAATAGAAACGATGGAGAGTTACTTAAGACATGTAGCCCTTGTGATCAAAGACATGCAGCCCTTGTCCTGTTAAAGAGCAATGTCCAAATGCACTTAATGTGAATGTATAAAGCAAAAACAGCAACATCTCACAAGATGCACAATTTTAAGCTTTCCTATACTTTGCAGGAATTAGCCATATCCTTTACATTTCACTGCTTGCATCATCCCAGTCTTGAGTGAACAAAGTTGTCAGAGATTAAAAACACTATGTCAATCAAAACAATCAATCAAAAATAGGTAATGCCTCTTCCAGTTATTTCCACGATATGGGAACACACGCAGAACAGATACGGATGTTCTATCTCTTAAATGGAACAACCACATTGCAATTAGGAAGCACAATAGGAACATACTCCTCCACATTGAGGTGAAGAGTTACATCACCCCTGGGAGAATCTGCGGCAGTCACAAACAAGCCAGATAGCGCTGCAGCATACACCAGTGCAAGCCATGATATTAAAGAGAGAAAGAGGGAGCAATGCGTGCCAGGAGGTAAAAATAGGACGTGAGCTGTAATTTCGCTTGTTTTTAAAAATAATACATCTGTGCTTGTAAGTTTTTTTTATCCCTTGACTTTACAGTGCTGTTTCTAATTTGAGTAAAACATTATTTTACACAAACACAAATATCTTATTAAAGTGGGGAGTTTACTATGCATATAGTTTTGGAGGACATTTCTAAATCCTTTTTTCCGTGCATTCTGCAGTACTGCTCAAGCTTTACCGCCTGTGCCGATTTGGTAATCAGTCCGTGCTTATGGGTAAATGGAAATCTAGCCTTCTCCTTCCCTGGGTTGGCAGCCATGTGCTGGCCTCCCTCTGTGCTTTTGCTGGTAGCCTGTATCTGCTTAGAACAGGTGCCGGATCCCGTTCGGCTGCAGCATTCACAGCACAGGTACGGGTGGGAGGCCCTTGGCTGCTCGTACAGTCCCCCAAGTTTTCCAGGGGTCCCCATCTGTGTCCCCGCACATCCTCTGCCACATGGCACCTGTCCCTCGACGGGTCTGGTCCATTCTTCGTCCGGCGACGTACACGCCTGCCTGCCACCCCACACTCTGCCTGTTGTTGAGCCACAATGAGATGAAGAATAGCTGCACCCATAATCCCTTGCTGTGAGATGTGTGTGTGTGTGTGTGTGTGTGTGTGTTTTTTTTTCCTCCTCCTTCCAGATTTAGGGCCAAGTACAAATTGTAAACAGGTTATTATGCTGCTGAAACACACTCCAACTGGAAATGCACTCCGACAACATTTAGTGTTTACTGATGTAAGTGTGTCTTTATCCATCGCACAGAAAATTTTAATTTGGTGTAAAGTTCGCTGCATTTACTGTGATGATGTTGTAATGGGAATGTTGTTTTCTATTTGCAAGGCTTAACAGGAAAGAGATGATTATCCC